AAAAATCAGTTGAATAAAAATCAAGATAAAACAGAATAAAAAAAAGAAAGAAGAAAGACCAGGCTTGGAAAGACACGCACGAATTTCATTACGTCGTCAAGATGAAGTATGTTACATCTTTTCGGAGAACAATGCAGAGAAATATCCGACCATAAAACGCGACGTTCGTGGAGAGAGCTCTCTGATTTCGTTATTATCCTTCTCTTAGAGGAAATTCGCCAAAGCTTTTAACTCCCGGAATGAAATCTGCTTAATAGGAATAGTCTGGCATGTGATTTAATAAAGCGAGTGATGTTATATCGCCGAAGAGCCAGGGCCCTCCATTTTTTTTTTTTTTTTTTTTTTTTTTGAAGAGGGGGGCGGGAGGATTTTATTTCGATGAATGTATACTAACGTCGATGGTGGAGATTGTATACTTAGACGAGGTTCACTTTTCTCTCTATCGCTTTCTTTCCTTCTATCTGTTTCGTCTCTGCCTCTATCTCGTATATACATACTGCCTCAAATACATATACATACACATTATGTATATATAGTATATATATATATATATATATATATATATATATATATTATATATATATATATATAATATATATATATTATATATATATATATATATATATTATATATATATATATATATATTATAATATATATATATATATATATATATATATATATAATATATATTCTCTCTCTCTCTCTCTCTCCCTCCCTCCCTCTCCCTCTCTCTCTCTCTCTCTCTCTCTCTCTCTGCTCTCTCATCTCTCTCTCTTCTCTCTCGTCTCTCTCTTCTCTCTCTTCTCTCTCTCTCTCTCATCTTCTCTCTCGTCTTCTCTTCCACTCCATCTTCTTTATATCTACCTGTTTATCTATTCCTGTCTTTTCTAGTGTTAAGTCTTCCGTCATATAGTAATCTTTCCTTCTAAATTCTAAAGGAAAAGGAAAAAGAGGAAAATAGAAAGGTATAAATGGCAATACTTTATCGTAACTTAATTTTACACGGATTTCCGGTCTGCTGGAGGCTTATCAACGTCTTGGATCCTCGTTTTATACCGGAAAGAAAACGGATTGTCATTTAATATAAGACACGATGAACAAAAACACAAAAGGATTTTTTTTTGAAAGACAAGAGAGAGAAAATTCAAGGAAAGGAAAATAAAACTTTGGATATGGAACTTAGAAAGGATAAAATCCGAACAAGGTATTTTCCCGACCGAAAACAAGCTAAAAGATTTACCGTACTATTATTACTGAATCTCGAGGGGGGAGGGAATAGAACGCGCATAGGATCATATTAAGTCAGTTAATAGGAAAAAGGAAATAAGAGAAAGCTAATTGGATTACGGAGGAGATTTCAAAGGGGAATTGAACAAAGGAGATAATGGTAGTAAAAGCCTATGCAAAGATATCCAATACAAGGATATCTTTATTCACAAGCCTGTAACAGAGATAGAAGGAGATGAGGATAAGTTAACGACGAATAAAACATATGTCGAGATAAGAAAAAGTAGATCGTAGGTAAAAAACAAAGGAAGAAGAAAAGAAAGTAAATAAAATAATATATTTTGATCACATTCATATAATGAGTAAGATCTTGATATAACTGGAGGAAATACACGCTTATAGACTATCTGCCTGTGTTTATAAATGCACATGTGTATTTGAGTGTGCATGAGGATCTATCCCTGAATGTGTGTATGCGTGTTTGTGCTTGTGTTTGAGTGTGTGTGTGTGAATACGTGTGTTGTGTTGCTGTGTGTTGTATGTCTGTGTGTGTTGTGCTAACCTTGTACGTGTACGTGAGTGCATTCGCTCTCACAAGCGTATCACACCCCACTCCAAAAAGGCATTCACTCCCGCAATCCAAATTCAAAATATACCGGCAAGCGAAGTCACATAAAACCGATTGAGAGACAATCATCAGATGCGGACGGCTTCCCCGGTCCGTAATTGAGTGGTGTTGCCTCTTCCGAACACAGTCCTTCCATCCGCTCTCTCGCCAGATTACCGATTCCGTGGCGCTCCTACGGAATCTGTTCACCGGTTCTAGAATCATCTCTTACGACACGACTGTTCAGTTTAATTCGGTTGTGAACACCGGTGGAGACGAGCTTTCACCTGACAAGCAATATGGCTCGCAGAGAGAAACCATCTGAAAAGGAGGTAAGGCGGAAAATCGAAAAAAAATAAAATAAATAAAAATGGAAGAGACATTGGAGACACAAGGAGAAAGTAAGTGAAATAGATGAAGATGATGAAGAGGCAAAAGCAATAGACGAAAAAGAAGAGGAAAAAAGAAGAAGATGAAGAAGCAGAAGCAATAGACGAAAAGAAGAGAAAAAGAGTAGTAGAAGAAAAGTGGAAAAACGATAGGAAAATATATAATAACAATAATAAGAAAAATAATAAAGCAAGTGAATAGCAGTTCGTGAGCAAAATATACAAAAAAAAAAAATAAAAATGAAAACGAAAAAGAAGAAATGCAAATCAGCTTTCGTTAAGCCGACTCCGTGAACGGCTTTATCAAACGCGCCATTGCCATCGCCGGGGGAGACGTATCAACTATTGTAAAACTCTTATCTTATCATTCAAGACGTCATTTTCGTCAGCCTGACGCATTATCGAGGCTGAGGTATCATCGTCTGCCGTCCTCTCAAGACGTTTTAATGCCGGCCTCCGTCAGAGCTGAGAGTTGACGAGTGAAGCTTTTGGTCAGATCTCAGAGTGACCGAGGAAGCAGTCTTTGTCAGGAGTCCGAGAGTGGGACCGAGGTAAGTCTGTCAGAGGAAACTGACCCGAGTAAGCCTGGCAAGGAGATATTTGACCAGAAGAGAGCGTGTCAGAAGGCCGAGAGTTGATCTATGGAGGCTATTCAGAACACAAGACTTGGCTCAGGAAGGCTGTGAGAGACGTACGTAGGAATGGTCAGAGCGCTAGAGAGTGACCAGGAGAGCTTGTCAGGAGGCTGAGATTTGACCATATACGAGCTGTCATATCTGATGAGTGACCCGCAGTATAATACCTAATATCCATATTCCGAGATGATCCTACCACACCTCTGTCAGGGGCACGTATTCTCACCACCACCACAGTGCTCTGAGAGTGACCGAGAGACGTAGGAGGCGAAGAGCTGATCCGTGAGGAGAGCCTTGGTTCAGAGCAGAGAGTGAACCCCCACGAAGAGCTAGGTCAGGAGTCGACGAGTGACCGACGAGAGCCTGTCAGAGCTCGAGAAGACTGACTCTATGCATACTGGCCAGAGGTTTCACCTCCGAGACGTGACCGAGGAGAGCTGCTCACTGGCGAGAGTCACCCCGAGGGAGAACACTGTCTAGGTAGCCGAGATGACGAGGAGAAGTGGTCAGCGAGCGAGAGTGACCGAGGAAGTCTCTCCAGGATCCAAAAAGAAGATTGACGAGAGAGCTGTCAGGAGCAATCATCTTTCTCGCAAGAGAAAGCTTGGTCAGTAGCCCCCGAGTAGAACAACACGAGCCCAAAAGGACCGAGGCAGAGCGTTTGTGCAGGTAGGCGAGAGTACCGAGAAAAGCTGTCAGGAGGCGAGATGAAACCGAGGAGAGCTGGTAAGGAGCGATGATAGTGTATCTTACGATCGAGCTTCTATGGATGGCTCAGATACGTTGACCGAGGTAGAGCTGCGTCAGGAGGCGAGAACGTGACCGCGGAAGCTGTCATGAGGCCAACCCGAGATATTGACGATCGAGAGCTTGGTTCAGTGAGCGAGCTGTGACCAAGTGAAAGCTTTCTATGAGGCTGAGAGTACCGACGAGAAGCGTCGGTCAGGAGGCTGAAAGTGACCGAGAAGACTCCTCTATACATATCTGAGAGTGACCGAGGAAGAACTTTCAGGACATTCCGACACCCACCTCGAAGAGTCTTTCTCCCAACTAGAGTCCTTGGAAATAGTTTGTTACCGTATCTATCTGCGTCAGGAGCGAGAATTGACCGAGGAAAACTGTCAGGAGGCGAGATACCGAGGACACGCAGAATTGACTATATATCTGTCAGGACGTACCGAGGAGAGCTGGTCAGGAGGCGAGTATGACCGAGGAGAGACTGGTCAGGAGCGAGAATTGACGAGAACGAGCTTCGGTCAGATGCTGAGAGTGACCAGATGAAGCGCTTCAGGAAGCCCGAGCAGACACACGCTATGGAGAGCCTCCGACAGGAGCGGAGCAGGTGACTCGAGGATGTAGACTGTACTCTCTCTAATCTCACCTCACTGCACACAATGACCTGTATGTTGAGTAGTTCTGGTTCAGAGTCGAGAGTACCGTAGGAGAGTTTCTTGGTTTCAGGAGGCGAGAGTGACGAGGAGAGCTTGGTTCAGAATGGCCCCCTTTTTTTTTCTTTTCGGAGAGGTACGAGGGAGAGTTTCAGGAGTCGCGAGATTCCTTTTGACCGAAAAAAAACTCCCGAACTCTTCGTTCAGGGAGTGCTGAGTTAGGTGACGTATGGAGTTCATACCCTGGTTCAGGAGGTCGAGAAGACCCCTCCGAGCCGAGAGCTTGCTTCAGGAGGCCGAGACTGACCCCGATACAGCTGCGTCCAGGACGCGTGTAGCGATTGTGACCGAGAAGAGCTGGGTCAGCCCACTGGCTTTCCGCCAGCGTGACCGAGCACGAGTTCCCGTCAGTAGGCGACGAGTGACCCGATGGTAAGAGCTGCGTCAGGGCAGACGATCGAGTGGAGCGAGGAGAGAAGCTGTCAGAGGAGGAGAATGACCGAGCGAGAGCCAGGGAGGCCGGTGAAGAAACAAACCTATCTCGTCCATGGAGCGAGAGGACCGAGGAAGAGCTGTCAGGAGGCCGAGAGTACCGAGAGAGCTGCGTCAGGAGGCGAGACGTGACCGAGGAGAGCTGGTCAGTAGGCGATGAGTGACCGAGAGAGCTGGTCAGGAGGCCCGAGAGTGACGAAGAGACTGGTCAGGACTGTGCGTATGTGACAAGATGCACCCCGAGGAGAGCCAATTGCGTCATGGAGGCTGAGGAAAGTGACCGAGATGAACTGGTCAGAGGCGAGAGTGACCGGAGTGAGAGACTAGCGTCAGGAGGAGAATGACCGAGGCAGACTGTCAGACCTCGAGAGTGACCGAGGAGAAGCTAGGTTCAGGAGCTGAGAATGACCGAGGAGAGCTGTCAGAGCTTGAGAGTGACCTGAGGAGAAGGCTTCATATGCAGCACAGTGACAATAGTAGCCGGTCAGAGCGAGAGTGACCGAGGAGAGCTGGTTCAGGAGGCGAGCAGTGACCGAGGAGAGCTGGTCAGGAGCGACGAGAGTGACCGAGGAAGAGCTGGTCAGGAGGCGAGAGTGACCGAGGAGAGCTGGTCAGGGAAGGCGAGAGTGACCGAGGAGAGCTGGTCAGGAGGCGAGAGTGACCGAGGAGAGCTGCCAGGAGGCGAGAGTGACCGAGGAGAGCTGGTCAGAGTGCAGAGATGACGAGGAGAGCTGGTCAGAGGCAAGAGTGACCAGAGAGCTGGTCAGAGGCGAGAGTTAGCTGGTCAGAGGCGAGAGTGACCGAAGAGCTGGTCAGGAGGCAGAGTGACCGAGGAGAGCTGGCAGGAGGCGAGAGTGACCGAGGAGGAGCGAGCTGGTCAGGAGCGAGAGTGACCGAGGAGAAGCTGGTCAAGGGGGAGAGTGCCAGGAGAAGCTGGTCAGGAGGCGAGAATGACGGGAGAGCTGGTCAGAGGCCGAGAGTGACCGAGGAGAAGTGGTCAGGAGGCCGAGTGAGTGAGGACCGAAGAGCTGGTCAGAGGCGAGATGACCGAGAAAGCTGTCAGGAGGCGAGGGTGACCGAGAAGAGCGAGAGCCGAGAGTGACCGAGCTGTCAGGAGGCGAGAGTGACCGAGGAGAGCTGGTCAGGAGGCGAGAGTGACCGAGGAGAGCTGGCAGGAGCGAGAGTGGACAGGAGGCGAGAGACCGAGCTGCCGTCAGGAGGCGAGAGTGACCGAGAGAGAGCTGGTCAGGTAGGCGAGAGTGACCGAGGAGAGCCATAGGTCAGGAGGCTGAGATGTGACCGAGGAGAGCTGGTCATGGAGGGAGAGTGACCTGAGGAGAGCTGGTCAGGAGGCGGAGAGTGACGAGAGAGCTGGTCAGGAGGCGGAGACAGTGACCGAGGAGAGGCTGGTCAGGAGCGCGAGAGTGGACCGAGGAGAGCTGGTCGAAGAGCGATGTAACGAGGAGAGCTGGTCAGTGAGCGAGAGTGACCGAGGAGAGCTGGTCAGGAGGCGAGAAGAGCTGGTTGACCGAGGAGAGCTGGTCAGGAGGCGAGAGGTGACGAGAAGAGCTGGTCAGGAGGCGAGAGTGACCGAGGAGAGCTGGTCAGGAGGAGAATTGACCGAGGAGAGCTGGTCAGGAGGCGAGAGTGACCGAGGAGAGCTGAGTCAGGAGGCGAGAGTGACCGAGGAGAGCTGGTCAGGAGGCGAGATGACCGAGGAGAGCTGGTCAGGAGGCGAGAGTGACCGAGGAGAGCTGGTCAGGAGGCGAGAGTGACGAGGACAGAGCTGGTCAGGAGGAGAATGGAACCGAGGAGAGCTGGTCAGGAGGCGGAGACGTTTGACCGAGGAGAGCTGGTCAGGAGGCGAGACGTGACCGAGGAGAGTAGGTCAGGAGGCCGAGGACATCTGGTCAGGAGGCGAGGTGTGATCGTAAGGCGGAGAGCTGGTCATGAGGCGAGGCTTGACCGAGGAAGCTGGTCAGGAGGCGCGAGAGTGACCGAGGAGAGCTGGTCAGGAGGGCGAAGTGACCGAGGAGAGCTGGTCAGAGGCGAAGAGTGACCGAGGAGAGCTGGTCAGGAGCGCCACGAGGGTGACACGAGGAGAGTCTGGTCAGGTAGCGAGAGTCTGACGAGGAGAGCTGGTCAGGAGGCCGAGAGTGACGAGGAGAGCTGGTCAGGAGGCCGAGGTGACCGAGGAGAGCTGGTCAGGAGGCGAGACGTGACGAGAAGAGCTGGTCAGAGGCGAGAGTGACGAGAAGGAGGTTTCAGGAGGCGAAGAGTTGACGAGGAAGAGCTGGTCAGGAGGCGAGAGTGATCCAGAACACAGTGTTGGTCCGAAGAGAGATTTCCAGTGCGTTTCGCCACAGCGGGTCGTTCGGTTCGTTTCGTCGCCAAATAGAGTCTGGGGCGACTTCGAACCCTCATTTTTTATTAGATCTTAAGCATCGATATTTCTCCGGGTAAGTTATGGCCTGACTGAATTCCGTCGCAGATAACTCGAATTCACTCTCCTTCTGGGGGCCTATCTTGGCAAAAATGAACCCGACTCCTCGACACATCATCAGCGCATTGGACGATATCGGTAATTTTGAAATTATGGATCTTGCGCGCGGATTCGAACACATTTCCGCTATGAAAGGAAAATAATAGGGACGTATCACGAAGGGAAGAAAGACATATGCAAAATGAGAAAAGAAAAAAGAAAAAGAAGAAAATATCTAGAGAAAGGAAATCATTTTTTTTTGGTTGAGAAAGCGTCGA